CACCACCACACCTGGCAAGCTTGTCTTACAAGTAGTGATTTAGTAACAAATCAGAATTCTCTTTGTGGGAACCGTTTTCATTTTTATTTTGTAACTTAATTTTATTTTTTTGGTTTTTTTGAGATAGGGTGTCACTATGGAGTCCCAGCTGGCCTTGAACTCACAGTGATCCTCCTGCCTCAGCCTTCTAAGTGCTGGGATTACAGGTGTGCGCCCCCACACCTGCCAGCCGTTTTCCTTTTTAAAGTCCTATTTCTTCCTGATAATAACAGCTAACCTCAGTGCAAGTCAGTTCTTGCTGGGAAGCATCTTCCAGAGTAGTATGTAGCTTTATCCTCACAGCAGCCCTGGACACCCAGCACAGTGGGTGGAGGAAGGACAAGTGCCTGGAAGTGGCTCGGCCAGAGGCGGCTCTGTCAGCACAGCAGGGCTGTTGTCCCCGGCTTTTCTCATGATTCTTTTCTAGAAGTCAAATATTCAGTGAAAAGAACCCATTCCTGTCACTGCCAGGAGACCTCTTTGATGTCTGCCCTGACGTCACTGAGGGAGATCATCTCCTAAAGCCCTTGTTCAGCAGAGGCAGAAGCCTTGAAAGAGCCACAGGTTCTGTGCTGCTCAGGTGGATCCTTCCCTGCCTGATGGTGCCCGAGCCCCTTCCACCAGACGTCCTCGGCCCTGGCCTGTCTGCTGCCCTCTCTGCCCCTGCCGGGATGCTCTCCCACCAAATGTTGCAGGGCTGGTTTCTATGCTGTTCACTCGGCTTCCCGTGTCGCCCGGGGGTCCCCTCCTCCCATGCACACTACAGTCTGTTGCCCTTGCTCTGCTGTTTTTCTCTAATACCTGTTCCCATCCATTCTTGGTTACTTCTCTTCTCACTTGTGTGTCACACCCAGAGTGCAAGCTCTGTGAGGCAGGCTTCAGGGTGCTTGCTGCTGTATTTTAGTCTGCGCTTGCATGTAGTAACGGTTTAATATTTATTAAGATGGCTGGCTGTGGTAGCACACACCTATAACTTCAGCACTCTGGGAGGCTGAGGCAGGAGGATCACAAGTTTGAGCCCAGCCTAGGCAATCTAGGCAATTTAGTGAGAAGTGGTCTCCAAATGAAAATTAGAGAAAGGGCTGGGGCTGGGGCTCAGTTTGAAGATTCTGAATTCAATCCCCTCCATCATATATAGTTTTGTGTATATATTTTCAGTGAATTAAATTCAGAAAGACATTGAGATAATTGTGAACAGAGAAGGATGGGATTTCCTGTAGTTAGTATTTATTACAGTGTTTTCACAAAGCAGTCAGAAGCCAAACATTATGACCCTCCTGAAGTGATGTAATGAAGTCCACAGTGCTGATGGCAAAGTGCTCTTGCCCCAAAGTTGAACCTGAATTTGATAGCACTGTGTGTACTGCTTACCAGAATTAAACAAACTAGATCAACGATGGGGAACCTTTTAGAGACGAGTGCCCAAGGTGCCAGCACTGCAGCAAAACCTGAGCACTGATGTTTTGGCTGAGAAAAAAAAAATCTTTTGTCTTAAAAGAAAAACACAGTAGCAGAGCTTTCAGTGATACCAGCCTCCCGCAGAGGTCATAGACTCACCTCCACTGAACTCGAAGAACCTGCTGAACCACACCTCCAGGCTATGATTGGCAAGATCTAGAATGAGGAAAATTTGCAGTTAAGTGATCCAGTTTGTAAAATAAGCAACAAGGAAAAACAGGAAAGGAAATACAGATTAAAGGAGACTTGAGATGTATGAACCAAATGCAGTGTGTGACTGTCGCTGGGGTACTGATTGAAACATCCCCTACTATTAAAAACAAATTGTATGAAGCAAGTTAAAACATTTGCTGTATATTAGATGATACTGAGACAGCTGATTTTAGGAGTGATAATGGCTTTATGGTTAGGCTGGAAAAAGTCTGTAGCCCTTTGCAGTGGTACACACCTGTAACCTCCGCTACTCTGGAGGCTGAGGTGGGAGAATTCCAAGTTTGAGGCCATCCTGGGCAATTTAGCAAGAATGTCTAAAAACAAAATTTTACTAAAAGGGCTGCAGAGATAGTTCAGTGGAGGAGTATTTGCCCAGCATGCCCAAGGTGCTGGGCCCAGTGTCTAGTGCTGCAAATAAGAAGTAACTTCAGGGCTGGGATTTGTCTACAAATAACCCAAGACGATGGAACAGGACTGGCCGTGGGCTGGCAGTTGTTGAAGCTGGGTGGTGGTGCGTGGAGTTCATTTTATTTTTTTATGTACATATGTAGGGAGGCAGGGCTCTCGCTGTGTTGCCCAGACTGACTGCACTCATCCTCCTGCTCCAGCCTCCTGAGTGCTGGGATCACAGAAGTGCACCACCACACCCGACCCATTTTACTGTATTTGTGTAAATGCTCAGAATTTTCCACATTAACTAAAAAGGCAATCACATGCCCAAAAAGTGCTGTGGGGGACTCCAAAAGAAATAAACAGCTGTTCGCTGTCACCATGGACACATTCCAGGAGCCCAGCGGGGCCCTGAAGCTGCATACATGGAGCTTTGGGTGGACTGTGGTTCCCTGCAGACAGGCACGCCTGGGGCAGCTTGCAGCTTTCCCCGTGGGCCTAGCCTAGGCACATCCGATGGCCAGCATGGCCGCTCCTGCGCTTCGGCACTGTAGCGAGGAGACGGGTCACGTTAACATCGGTGCCTGTTACCTGACACTCCGACCACCAAGACCTCCAGCACTGACTGTGGGCGCAGCCCGCACAGTGGGCAGGCGATGACTCACTTTCCGGAAGGAACAGCAGGGAGGCTTCTTCCTGCTGCTTAGAAGGGCAGGAGGCTGAAAATGTGAGTTTATTTGTGGAGTTTCCCATTTAATATTTTTGGACCATTGTTCACTACAAAGAAGTGAAACCAAGGATATGGGGAAACTACTGTAAGCAGGAGTTTTCTTTGCAAGTCGCAGGAGGTGCACTCAAAATGATAGTTCAGGCCAGAATTGGTGGTGCACACCTGTAACCCCAGCGCTCGGGAGGCTGAGGCAGGATGAGCGTTGCGAGTTCGAGACCAGCCTGGGCTACAAAGTGAGTTCAAGACCAGCCTGAACTACATAGTGAGACCTAATTAAAGGGAAACTAATTAAAGGGAATATTATCAACTAATCTTTTAAATGTTAATGGCAATATATAGTACTAAAAAGATCAGTCTAATTCTGGAGGTGCTGGGGATGCAGCCTAGGGCCTTGTGAATGCTGGGCAAGCGCTATCACTGAGCTATGTCCCTACCCTGTAACTCTTTTAATGTCTGAAAGCTCAGGAAAGGTAAGGATCACATTTTTTAGCTCCTAACATAGCAGACCTTTAGTAAATTGAAGAAACTCAAAGCCATACATAGTGAGTTCTAGGCCAGCCTGCACTATATAGTGAGACTCTGTCTTGAAAAACCAAAAATATAAAATAAAAACTCCACACCATACCTTGAGTCACCATAAATTTGTTTACTCAAAGTATACTTATTTTGGGGCCAGGGTTATAGCACAACACCTGGCTGGCATGCACAAGGTCTTGAGTTCAAATCCTGGTACCACGAAAAAATGTATATATATACTTATTTTAAAATAAATTGCTAAGCCTAATTTATAATTATTTTTTTCCCCTCTGTCGTTCTAGTCTGGAGTTGATCAAAGAACCTGTTTCCACAAGATGCGATCACATATTTTGCAAGTAAGTTTGAGTGTTTTTTGTGGCTCCTTTATTAGTTTTTGTGCTTGTTCTTATAATACAGGGAAAACTAGACTTCATAGAAACTGTCTTTAGCTTCTTTAGTTAAGTGACTGTGAAAAAATCCACCTTGATTTGTTCTTGGTTGGAGAGTACGTACAAAGTCACCATGACTGGTCACAGCCATCACTCCTGGTGACGCCGCGCCTTATCTGTTTACAAACAGTGCTGTGACGTCCCCTTGGACAGCTGTTTGGTGTTTGTGTCAGGGTGAAAGCAGTTTTAGCCTCTCGGCCAGCCTCTCTCTGCTGTTGATTTCTGAATGTTCTCTGCTTCCCCCTGGAAGGTTCAGGACCCCCTGCTGTGCAGTGCTTGTGAAGCTAGGAGCGCTGGCTCTGGTATCAGTTTATGCTCAGGCTGATTAATTCAGGCTGAGGATCCGAGTTGCACGTCCACCACCATAACCTTCTGTGCCTGTGGGTCAGAGAATTGTGCCTGTGCCGAACACGTGTAGCCCTTTGCTTTTCATTATTCTCTAGAGCAGTACACTATAGCAGCTGTCTGTGTGGCATTCGCATGGCATTGGGGTTCCCAGTAATGGAGAGCTGATTTAAGATAGAGGGGGCCCGAGCTCAGATGTGCACCCCTCACCACTTCGTGTAAGGGACTTGGGCACCTGGACGGTTTGGTGTCCAACATGGGGGTCTTAGAACTGATCCCTACCATACTCAGAGCTGTGTTTGACATATTTGAGGGTCTTCCCCTTTGATAGGGGTTGCTGGGGCTTGAACCTAGAGCCTTTACCTTGACCTATGTCCCCAGACTATTTTGTTTTTAATTTTGAAAGAAGTTTTTGCCAAGTTGCAGTGGGTCTCAAATTCAGGATCCTCCTGCATCAGTCTCCTGGAGTGCTGGCCTTACAGTTGTATGGCACCGCGCCCAGCTTTCAGTGAGTTTGTTTTTAAGTAGTGGTTCTCTTTTAATTGAAAAGGCAAACCACGTTCCTAGTAATGAATTTATTAAAACAGAATGGTGTGGAACACAGTGTATTTTCTCATCACTAGACCTGTGCCTCCTGCCCTTCCCAGAGACAAGCGTGATTATTAACCTCATTACCCTTTTAGGAATTTTTTAGCTCAAGAGCTGTTAACTTGGAGTTCATGAATGATCTTCATGAATTTCTTAGCATTCAGTTTTAAATTCAGTTGTATTAATAAGTTCGGGCATGTATTTTTTTCTGGGAGTACTGTAGTCTGTAATTTTCTTCCCTCTTTGGCTGTTCCCATGAACTAAAAAGGGGGACAGCTGCTGCCTGAGGATAATGAGCTCTGGCTGAGGCTGCAGGAACCTGTTCCCTTCGGGGTTCCCCGAGCCCCTGCAGCTGCTCTCCTCCTCCCTCGCGATCCCTGTTTCCTTCTCAGTCCTCTGTCCCCACACGGGTCCACAGCCTATCCCCATGCCTGTCACTTCCCAGGCACCCTACTGGCTTCGATCCTGCCCCAGCAGTTTCTTAGGACTCTTGGCCTCCTCAGCACAGCTTTCTCTCTCTGCTTTAAGTATTTACTTTTATAGCTTTGCAGCCCACTATGTTGCCAACCAGTTTCTTCACAGATGGATATTGAGATAAAGAAAGTCCCAGTATTTATAAGGCTACTGTGTGTGTGCGCATGCACACACACACACACACACACACACACACACAGGATTGAACCCAGGGCCTTCACATCAAGCTACATCCCCAACCCCCTTTTTTTTTTTTTTTTTTTTTTTTTGAGAATGAGTCTCATCAAGTCACCCAGGCTGAGCTCAAACTTCCCATTCTCCTGCCTCAGCCTCCCAGAATGCTAGGATTGCAGGCATGCGCCATGTCCAGACAAAATTTGTCGCACATCATTTTACTGAGAACCTTGTGTAAAACTTTGTGTTTTTTCCTTCAGCTGCTGTACCATGAAGACTCCCTGGAGCTCTAACACAGAGCTCAGAATTTGTTCTCTGAGCCCTGGGTGTTGGGCCAGTGTTCTGTTGATCCTTCAGGATTTCCCTTAGCTCAGTATTTAGAGTCATGTAAAAATTCATTTCTTCCTGTTTTTCTTTGCTTTTTTTTGTGGTACTGGGGATTAAGCCCAGGGCCTTCACACTGAGCTATGTCCTCGGCCCTTTTTATATTTGGAGATAGGTTCTTGCTGAGTTGCTCAGGCTGGGCTCAAACTTTAAATGCTGCCTCAGCCTCCCAAAGTGCTGTGATCATAGGCATGTGCTACCATGCCCAGGTTCATTTTCTCTTTCGAGTTTAGTTAACAAACTTATGTTTTCTCATGTGTTATTTTCCTAGCATAAAGAAAGGTTAGGGTCCCTAGTTTGGTTGGTTTTTACATACCTAGGTCCTCTGCATTATTAAGTATTACACAGGCTGCAGCGTGGCACAATTCACCCTACTACATTTGGTGGTACAGTGACCAGGGAATTCCCTTCTACTACCACTTGGAGTTGTTTAACTGTACCATTTGTCAGGGATATGCACAAATAAAGTTGATGTCACGTGGGAGGCCCAGGCAGCTGGACCACAGTGAGTTGAAGGTCAGCCTGCCCTGCACAGCAAAACTCTGTGCCCAAAACCCTAAATAACTAAACTGGGTAGAGGGAAGGCACAAAGGATTGAGGCGTGTTACGCACATGTACCAAACCCTGCAGTGAATGTAATGGTCATGTACTGTAAGTGTGGACTACTAAAAGTAAAAACGAATGAGTGAATGAACAAGTGAATGAGATTGGTGTGCAACGCAGGTAGCTTTGGGGACCCTCACCACGCACTACTGAGGCCCTCTGTGCCAGGCAGGTACTGTACAGCCAAGTCACGCCCTCAGCCATGGGTGCTGTTTCCAAACTAAATAGAATCATTTCACATGAGCTGCTTAATTATGTCTGATTGTGCAGCGTGGCATAATGAGGATCATTAAATATGCTGTACTAACTTTAATAAGTTTTATATGATCATAACAGGAAGCCATAGGCAGGTACATTCAGTTCTCGTAGGTTATTGCTTCTGTAGTTTGGTTTTCTGTTCATGCAGCATCTAAAAGCAATTAAAACCATTGAGTAGGGCCGGGGATATAGCTCTGTGGCATAAGCCCTTGCCTGGCAAGCCTGAGGTCATGAGTTTGATTCCCCGTACAGAAAAAAAAAAAAACATTGGCTGTAATTCACTTGTCTTACCTGTTGGCAGCCCTTGGGGCGGTTGTGAGAGTCTCTTTTCCCTATTTGACTTCTGAGTGTTCTTGCTACAAAAGAAAATAAATTGTTCTCTCTTTATCATTTCCAGATTTTGTATGCTGAAACTTCTTGACCAGAAGAGAGGGCCTTCACAGTGTCCACTGTGTAAGAACAATATAACCAAAAGGTCTGTAATTTGGGTAGCGGTGGGGCTTGGATGTAACAATGTCAGCAGAAGGAGAAATGCTCGACTGGCACAGCGGGTGTCTTCCTAGACGTGCAGAAGTGTGTCTAGCTGGCAGTGAATTATTTCTCTGGTTGTTTTCCTGAAAGTTTTGTGCGACATCCACACTCTGCAGGTGTTAGCAACTTGGTGCCCTTCCCCTGTCTGTGCATAGCCAGCCCGGATCCTGCTTGGCGTCATCCTCAGGTGACGTCGGGGCCTTGTGGTGCGGTGGCTGGAGACACTCGCCGCCTTTCATGTTCCTAAGCAACACCACAACTGCAAGTCTTAGAGAAAGTAGGACTGTATCGCCCTGAGCCAGCGGGCTGCTAGTCCTTTTCTTTTGTGGTGTTTTTTACCCCCATGCTGCATTTCTGGGTCCCGCACCCCTCCTGCCCCGTGAGACTGTGGGCAGTCACTTAGTCCCTCCATACTGTTTCTCCAGGGCTCAGAGCTCAGTAGGTGCTCAGCCACTGAAAGGAGAGAGTGACTTGTGTTTTCCTTCAGCTTTTCTGAACTCAGATCGCTCTGTGGATGTTGCTGTCTGTATCTTCTCTGATTTGGTGGAAATCCCTGGGAAGCCGCGCTAGCTGTGAGGGATTTATATCTACTAAGGACTCACGGTGATACTGCATTAGAAAGTATTAGGCCTTTGGTAGATTTACAGGAATGGCAAACAAATATAGAATCAATCCGTCCTGCTACACAGTTTACACTGCACTCAGTGTGGGTGCTGGTTATCGTGTGAGGTCACTAATAGTTCTGTTCCTTGGAGTATGGTTCTCTACTGCAGCTGCCGTGGAAAGCCTAACCTTGTATTTCTTTACACACCTTTCCCCATTTTAGTATCCTTGAAAAGTTGATTATCACTTGCTAAGTGTGCTTCTCAAACAATTTCATTTCAGAAGCCTACAGGAAAGTACAAGGTTCAGCCAGCTGGTTGAAGAGCTGTTGAAAGTCATCCACGCTTTCGAGCTCGACTGCAGCGTGCAGGGTGAGTGTCGCCAGGCGCGACTGAGCGGTGGCCCTAAAGCCTGGGACGTTTGCAGTTGTTGCCAGGGTGTAGGTGAGGAGACCCAGTGGCCTAGGTTAATTCTAGCTCTGCATCTGGTATCTGTTTTAAATCCTTCCCATCTGCCCACACCTTAGTTATCAGCCCTGAAGTACACATTTTCACACCTCAAGATCTCTGCAGTCAGGAGCACTTTACCTTCGATGGTCTGTTTCTAATTTAGTTCTCCGGTAATGGTACAAAAAACACTAGTGGGCCTTTCGTGGGTGTCTTAGATGCAGTGCAATATGGTATTAATAGGCAAATTTATGAGTTTTAAAGTGGAAAAAAAGAAATAACTTTGACAGTCTCTGTGCGTGCGTGTGTTTCTTAGGAACAGAATTTCTGAAGTTTTTTGTTTTTTTTTCTTTTTTTAAATTATGGGTAACCTGAATACCCATACTAATCATCTGAACACAATAAAGAACACATGCAGAATTTTTTAGTTTCTTTAAAGAAAATTGGTACATTTTTCCTAACTATACAGTGTGTTCCCTTGTAATTCACAGTTACCAACAGTTACAGCTTTTCAAACAAGGAAAGTAATTCTGCTGAACACGTAAAGGAGGAGGTTTCTATCATCCAGAGTATGGGCTACCGAAACCGTGCCAAACGAGGTCGACAGGGCAATCCCGAGAGCCCCGCCTGGGTAAGGCGTTCCCGTCTCTCTCACACCGTCTCCTCGTTAAGCAATGTGAGCTGGAAAACGTGCTAGGTGCTCAGAGTCAGGTGAAAGGCGGCGAGGAGGGAAGCAGCAAGTAGGGTTGGGCAGGGCTCTCAGTAGGAGTCGGAGGAGCTCTGAAGGGTGAGGGCACCTGGTGCAGACAGGAGAAACTGTGGGCCCTCCCTGCGCCCAGAGATCAGCTCTTATAAGTGTCCAAAAGAGCCATGGGGTCGCTGGGCTTTGTAAGCGTTTGGAAATTACGCAGCTTAAGGTGAAACTGTCGCCGGGCATGGTGGCGCACACCTGTAATCCCAGCACTCGGGAGGCTGAGGCAGGAGGATCCTTGTGAGTTCGTAGCCAGGGCTACAAAGTGAGCTCAAGGCCAGTCTGAGCTGCATAGCGAGACCCTGTCTCAAAAAGACAGGAAAAAAAAAAACAAACCAAGGTGAAACTGTCAAAGAAAATATAGTGATTTCTCTGCTGTCACTCTTATGTGAATAAACAATGGAGATTTAAAAATAATAGTTCTCAAGATATGGGCATTCGTTTTTCGGTAGATGTAGGTGGACGAAATAGGAAGAAGAGAAGCTTCAATAAAATAGTGTTGGGCTTTTAAATATTCAAGGGCTGAGGATGTAGCTCATTGTTCAAGTGCTTGCCTGGCATGTGCACAGCCCTAAATTCAGTCCTTGATATCATCAAAAATCCCCAGCATAAATATTCTTTCCTTTGCTAACGTAGGAACACAGAGGTTTATTGTCATCATTTATCTTTTTTTTTTTTT